TATATATATATATATATATATATATATATATATGATACATTTTTATTTTCTACTATTTTATCCGATGATACTAGGTGGTACAGGTTGGTATACTTCCCAATATACCAATAGAATACTGAAGTGATGCCTTATTCTCAATCCCAACATAACATTACTGTTTTATGTTTCCTCTCTCCTTTTGGTGTTATACACGAAGATGATTCACCTAAAGCACGGGTGGAGGACTGTTCTTTTGATGAGATTTTTGCACAAGATGGAATATCTCCAGTTATTATAATTCATTACTGCAAAATTTATATTACTTTTCAGATACCTTCAGCATTTCCTATCTTTTCTACACCACTAATCTTTAATCATAAGGCACATAATTATTCTGTTTTGTTTAAGTTCTTTTGTTTAATCTCAACTACTGTTGTTCCTCCTGAAATTTCCTAATTGATCATTGTTTATGAGTTGTGACAACATATCTCCAGACAAACTTAAACTGAGACAAATATGCTGATTCTTGGCATTTATAGTTGCTATGAAAATAGACAGTTACCAAATATTGCATGTTAGAACAGATGCAAAAGAGAAGATTGGCCATCTAACTATATGCATACCTGTGCTCCCCATCCTAAACCAATTGATAGAATGGCAGATGGTGCAGACCATGATCTATCGATCCTTCGAGAAATTACAAGACCAGTACCAACCTTGTAAGTAAGAAGTGCACCAACTTTAACTACTGTTAGGATGGCAAGCCCTTTTGCTCTTTTAAGGACAGCCCAGGGAATCGATTTCTCAGGATCAAACCTATCAACCTGCACGTTGGACAAGATGCTAATTAAATAGAAGGCACCTGATGTTCATATTTTTAAAGAAGTAAGGTTCCTCAAATTTAAGTTAAAAGGAGATCCTTTAATTCGGAATAAAAAGCTCAAAAGCAAAAGTAGGAAATTGCACCTGGCAATAGCTCCTCAAGATATTCGTAGCCTTGTATATTTCATATTCCATGGACAAGCCCACAGGTAAATTTAACCATCCTCTCATGCATGTCCAGTCAGTAACATCATGTTTAGCTGACTGAACGCAATTGCTATTCGAGATAATCAATATTCTCTGCAAAGGTTCAAGCCTGTCGTAGCAAGTATCACAGACTCTTTGAGGATTTCGCTCCCGAAATTTGACTGGTAACAAGCATCTTCGCATTGTACAGTTTCTGCAGAAGATACGACCACAAAACCGGCAGTGATGCCTACCATGAATAATGGCTGTGAATGGGGAATTGCATTGCATGCAGACTCTAGAATAACTATCTGGAAGCCACTCTGGAGGATCTGCTACAAGTACCTCTTTATGTGCATTACAGGCAATAGCTTCTACCTCGAAGGGTGGTGCACTTGGTACATAATAGACTGATGGATGCAAAAAGCTATCTCCATTCAATTCAGAACTTAAAAATGATACATCTGAGGTGGAGTTTAGCTGTCGCGATTGAATAGAACCATTAACTCGGTTACGGCCCGTAAGAATTGCAACTAACCCGCTCAAAACATTCTTCAAGTTTACTTCAGGATTAGCCCTGAGATGACTTGAATAACCAGGGTCTTGAGCTGGATCGTCCTGCTCAGGGAAGTCATGCTCTGGTGATGATTGATATAGATTATCCGGTATTGACACTTTTGGCACATAACTCTTGTGATGATCAACAAAGAAACCAACTTCCTCTCTATCATGATGACTAACTTTGTCTTCTTCAGAGGGTGAGGTGTATGAAACTCTTTCTTCTGATGTCATCATGGATTCATTGAAGGTGAAACTTGTGAGATAACAGAGCTTGTCCTGGAACACAGCATGCTTTCAGATTTGAGGTCAAAATCAGGGTAAAAAACATTCCTTTAACAAACAGGATCACAACAATGAATCAAAACATTGCATTAGAATAACCATAACAAATGAATTTAAACATTGCATTAGAATAATCATAATCTTGCCCTAAAGTTATCTTGTTCAGCTATTAAAGTATAATGTTTCCAATAAATGTACTGAACAAAAATTAAAACGAAAAAAATTTAAAAGAGCAAGAAAATGCAGGTTCTGAGGGTGCAAACACTGTAACATGCTCAATTACTAGTAGCATCGGAAGTAGTAGAACAAACTCAAAATCTTCCAAGTCCAATCCATCTAATTTTCTGCACTTTGAAGTTCACAATATTAACGCATGTTAAACATATCCCTTGAGAAAAACAATGCTAGTCGTACTATGTACCTTACTGCTTGGGAGCAATCTCATGAGACTCCACAATACAGCCATAACACGAAATAATTTATCAGACTTTGTGCTAAATCGAAATTGGCCCAAGTCCAAAGTGCCTCTAGGCGTCATTTACCTTACCTGGGATCTAGCGAGCTTTTGACCTACCTAAACCTATTTCTTGGATGTTATACCTACGTAAGATAATTCCTTTCTCCAAAACGGAAAAACGAAACATATCTAACAAAGATCAAATTTTATTGCAATCACTAGCATATTATTCAATCGATATCTCTGTGAATCCTAGGTTCTTTAGATTATAATACGAGCATTAAAGTTAGTATTCTTTGATAGACATGCCTTCACATCATCGACATCTACGAATAAACCAGAACGACCATTAAAATAAACAGCAAACGAAAGTATTCTTTAGAATTCTTCAACACGAAGAAACGGACTTCACAAACCCTAGAAATTTAGTAGAGAAACACCTCCAGAAAGAAGCGGAAAAGGATCAATCAGAGAGAAATGGGGTGGGAACGGGGATCGGTCGCGGCTCACCAATGGAATGCCGGAAAGAAGGGATCACGGATTGATGCGGCGGTCTCGAGGAGGTCGAAGAGATGGTGGAGCGATCGGAGAGAGCGGAGAAGGAGCGAGTTCTTTCCTATCGTGTTTGTTTGGCGGGGAAGGCAAGAAAACGATGGGGAAGGCGAAGGGCGTCGAGAAGTTAGTGAAGCCGTCACGGCATCACGTTAAAAATAGAGCTTGATGATGATGATGTTGATGATGATGATTATGATTATGATTATTATTATTATTAACGAATTTCAGAAAATAAAAAACTACTGATTTGGATTCTTCCTAAAAATAATACATCCCATTTTAATTTATTTTGTTTGCAAAGTGTATTTTTCCTTTTTAAATTTTATGCCTAAAAAGGTGAAGAGTCTTTTTATTTCATATTTTTAATCATTTTCTTAACCATTTCAGTTTGGTTTAACAAATCGATTCAAATAAGAATTTATAAAAATAATAAACTTCAGAAATAAAATTTAAAGTTTAACATAAATTATTAAACATTATAAAATAATTAAGAATCTATGACAATATAAAATTCAGATATTTATACTCCAAAAAATATTTAAGTAAATATTATAATATAATAAATAAACATAAAATATTTCAACATATTAAATTGAGTTTTTACACTAATTGTTTTTAATGGTCTACAATGAGAGTTTTATAATAAGAAAGTACTTTGAGTATTTTTTGAATAAAAAAACTCAATAATGGAACAATTACACAATTTTCAAAAAAATAATTAATAAAAAACTTAATTAAATTAAATCTAAATTTACTGAGATTCTACAGAGTGAGTATTTGTGATAATGAGAGACTCTATGGGAATATTTTTGGGAAAAAATTTAATATTTATGTAGTTAATAATATTGAAATTTTGAAAAGTCGGGACATTAGGTGGAAAGAAAATAAAAAATGAAGCGTTCTTGGGAAAAATAATATTTTTCTCTATGAATTCACCCTAATAATAATATGGTAAAGTTCCTTTACTAAATCCCAATGCAAATTGGTATCCATTAAAACCTTATATGTGACAAAATAATGTATATTTTTCTTGCAAAATTTGATATGTAACTATGCTAACAACATTCAAAATATTACATATATGCGTAATATCTATGTCCTGTTAATTTTATGTTTTAATTAAGCATTAAAAGGTATTTATTTTTATTTTTGCTAAATTTATCCATAATTGTGATTAATAGTAGTGGGGACGCATTTGACTATCTTTGTGTGGGTTATAGTTGCATTTTATAGGCTGAAATGTTTGAGAAAAAAATAGTTTCATGTGCATGTGTGTGAAGTCAAATTTTGAATCCTAAGTTGACATTGTTCTTGAATTCGTCACAAATCCAATGTCTATCTCTAATTGTTAAGCAAGGCTTGGTGAGATAAAGAGTAATCAAGGAGTGTTATGGTAGATTAAGTCAACGAGATATGTAGGTGATTTTATATAATGAGTCTAAGGTAACTTTTCTTTTTTAGAGTTAGAGATAACTATTGAATTCAAGTACGAGTTACTTAGCAAAACTATTAGGCAAAATCATCGATCATCATTAAATAGTGAAGGTGTATAGTGAATATTATCTAATAGTTGGGTTTCAAGAGCCAATTAGAGGGTTTCATGTCAATATTCAATCAAACAATTAAGAATTTAATAAGATTTAATCTCAATACTCAATCTTCGATAAACAACCTATGATCGTAAATCAAGTCATTCAACTCTTATATAAAGGGACATTCACTTCATTCTTTTTATGTCTTTTTATGAATTCTGATATCAAATCTTTTAGACTTTTTGAACTTTAGAACTCTTAGTCTTATATTAGAGGTAAAAAGATTCTTTAGAGCCATTGAAGAAACTCTTTCTCTCGGTGAGAAAGGCCGACATTTGATGACCAAAATTAAAATACTAAGTCAATATAGTGGTGCCTATCCACCCAAACCTCATTTAAATGATGCCTTTCCTCCTTTGAAAGTCTTTCCACCTTAAGACATTTTACCACTTCTAACTAGTCCAATTATGCTTGAAGTCGGTTGTCTCCCCTATATGACAATTCACCTTAGCTACCTTATTTTGATGAATAGCTTATTCCCAAAGGAGGGTCACTATGTCGATCAAGATATCATGGGCTGAACCGAGCACCATGAGCATTAGGCGAGGCCCCTATAATCAAAATTGTAAGTGTTGGTGAAGTTTGATGTGAAAACTATATTACATGTGGACTTGGATACTTACCATGACTAACTACTTATAGTCTTCGTCGAGAAGGGACTTGATATCCTTTCCATATTTTTTTTTTTATCAAACTAGAGTGCATCATCTACTAATTCCACCGAATGATCTATAATGAAATCTCTCATGGGTGAAAATTTATTGAGAGCCCCCATGTTGATTATAAGGGGTCCTTTCTGGGCTCAGGCTAGTAACTAAAGAATTCATATATGAACCATTCTCATTTGATAGGATAAAGATTATATACAAATAAATGAGTCACGTCATAAGGCTAGCTTGAAGGAGGTGCCTGGTGACTTATCGTTGCCTCCCCTTGGAGGAGTCATGGAGATCCTACTCTACTCCATCTCGAGAACTAGGGCATTTGGTAATCCTCCTCCTCATACTCCCTTAAGAGGATTCTTAGTCCACTAGCCAATTGTCCAGGGACTAAGCCAAAGCTCACCTCTCCTTCTTCGATATGGACAAGTGGCCAATCTGAGGATTGGACGACACTTGTAACTACTCCCACAAATACTCTTATTATTGCCTCTCTGCTAACCAAGAGAAACCTCTCGACTTCTTCTTACCCCTCCTCTGGTTGATAGCATGGGAAAATATTCTAGTGAGATCTAAAATGGTAAAAACTAAATTAAAAATTATAAGAGTTAAGATTTAGAAATAAAAATGAGAAAGCCTCAATTACTCACTTTAAAGCACAAGATTAAGTTTGTTCTTTATAAACCACTATTTGTTTTGTCTCGGTGGACAAAGCATTAGATAATTGGGTAAATTTTTTATTTTTAACTCCAGTCAACTTTTGGGGAGTATTAGCAAATTTTTAGATGACCCATATAAGACTAAAAGGCCACCCCTCATTTAAGAAATATAAAAAAAAAATCTTCCAACCCTTATAGGAGCTCGAAATCGTCCATGCAACTATTTTAAGACAAATGAAAGTAATTTAAGCCTCTAAAGCATGTATTATAGTAGCACATAATAGTATTAGCATCAGTTAATGTCAAGATCATAATATTCCGTAACAAATATATAAAATAGTGTCAAAAATTCAGTAAAATCTTTATATTTTAAAAACCTCGACAAAAGGAAATAAAGAGAGATCTAAAGCCTCATATCAAATGCATCTTAAGTGCAAAAATAATAATCCAATGTATATAACCAATTACTAAGTTAAGTAATTAAGTATTCATTACTACTATGACAACCAAAGTCGAATAAGCCAAATATAAAATTCTAAGCTTCGTCATCCAAAAACATCACCCTTAAAAGGAGGAGACATGGGACTACTAGTGACCGAAGGAGGGGATGAGAGGTGATTGGTCTAAACTTGAAGAAGATCAAGAGGAAGAAGAAGAAATCTTTGACTTTTGAATATAGGGTTTGGGAGTCGACTAAATATTCTAAAGCATAAAAATAAAAAAAGTTGAAACTCAAATTTCACAAGAGGTATGAAAAAAACAAAGATTGGACACCCCCTTGTAAAAGGATCGAGTGACCCTTGAATTCTTACACTTATCTCTTGGCTTGCTCATAGTCTAACTAAAAAGAAATGTGGTGGGTATAGATTGGTTATAGAAGATTGAGCATTGAGATTGCTATCTCCTTGGATCATTGATAGTTTGATTGAATCTCAACATAGAGTCCTCCAATTGACTCTTCAAAACTAACCATTAAGTAATGATCATGAATAGTTAGAAACTAAATCAAATTGGATCATGCAATCAAAATGATATGCTTGTAAAAAAACTAACCAAATAACCGAATCATCAGTGTCAATAATGTAATATGGAACTCAAAGTGATAATAACCAATGATACATATGACATATAGAGCTATAAGGCATAGGTGATCCGATCAAGATGTAGTTAAATCCACTTATGAAATATCTCTTAATTATGATGTGATCAAATCTGACCATAAAGTATTACTAGACGATGACATGACTGAACTCAATCATAAATATACCTCTAGCGACTTCGAGTAGCATATTTTAAATAGATTATCATATCCGATCCTCAAGTGATAAGACTATATCCCATTGTACATCTCATCAACTTAACAAGTAAACCAAATAATTATCCTACAGTGATATTGACCCGACGCAATGCAAGCACAAAGACCCACTCAAATTTGCAAGTCAGTTGATAATCCTAGCAGTCAATATAAATTGCACATATTCACTATTCAATAATGGTTGATGATTTTACATAAGCATATCATGAATTAACTTTAACTTAAATTCAAAAGTTACACAAGCTCACTGTAAAAAGCCTCTTAAGTGCGTTTTTGAGTTAATTTAGAATAATACTCTTTGATTACTCTCGATCTCTTCAAACCTTTACTGACTTAATCATCCTATGAATATTTATTTGGCTCAATCCTAACATATCATCTCAGAATCATGACTTAGCAATATATATAACCAATCAGATATCAAAAAATATTAACACTATATTATATTATCTTATAATTAGGATAAAAATTAGAGTAATTATGTTAAATGGTTCGAATTATAATATATTTAGTTAGATATAAAGAATATTTAAACAACGGAGTAGTTAATTGAGCCGCTCGAAATCGAACCGGGTTGAGACCGTGGTCCAATGAGCGGGGTAATTTAGTCCTTATCACCGGAAACGAAATCTTAGGGTTTTTCCGCGAGCGATAAGAAGCTTTGCCTCGACTTTGTTCCACGCTTCGCCGCCGTTGCTCCCAGATCAAGGCTCGGGTTCGCCCCCCCCCCCCCCCCCACCTCCCTCTCTTCCTCAAGCCCTAACCCAAACCCCGATTGCGGCCATGGCTACGCGGGTGCTCTCTCAGAAGGAACAGGACATACAGATGATGCTCGCTGCCGCCGTCCACCTCGGCGCCAGGAACTGCGACTTCCAGATGGAGCGCTACGTCTACAAGCGACGAAACGACGGTAACCTCCCGATCCGCTTTCTTTATTCTCTTTATGCCAGATCCGTCTTCCGAAGCATTTGGTGGTGCCTCCAGTTTATTCTTGTCTTGTTTCTGAACTCCATTTCCCATTATGATGCTATATGTTAGATGCGAGTGGCAACGAACGAATTCAAAGAAACCATTTGAGTCGTTCTCGGAGGAAATTTATTTTGGAATAAACATGATCGATCGCTATAAGTGATTGTGACTGTTATTCCATTTGTGAGAGGAAGGATTTGTTTGTCCGGGAAGAGATTGTTGTGGTGAAGTAAAGATGGGAACTTTTATGGTGTAGAACGTTGAGCTTGGTCCATAATATAGGTAAAATCATAGGCTTGCGGTGTGCTGGGCCTTGTGTGAAAAGTCTAAGGTTTCCAAGCAAATGGCATCTCATTTTTATGATGCGAAGATGTGCACTAATGGTGTTGGAGGCTTCCTGTTGTGGATTATGTTGGGTTTTGTTGAAAAAACAGGTAATCGAGGAGGGTGCTTAGCTATGTTATCATTATGAAGATGCAGGTAGAAAGAAATAAGGTGAGCGCAAGGGTCTCTATACACTGAAAATTACATCAAAGAATGCATATTGGTCCTGAATGAGGTGAATTGTTTCTTGAGAATGCCGTATCATATTTTTAGTCGTTGGTTACAGGTTGTATTGGTTCACATTTTATATGTAACAAACTTGTTTGACTGCTTTACAAATTTTCATTAACACAAATTATATTAATTAATTAGCATTATTTTATTCTCAAGAACTTGGAAAATGATCATTAGCAAATAACAAGGAAAGTAGTAAGCTGACTGTGATGGTTTGCATTCATAAATATGGAGTTCTTGTGAGTGGAACTATTTTAGTATATTTTATTTATGTAGTGATTGCCATTCGGCATATGCAAGGTGGTTAGCAGTATGTCAATTCTGGCAAAGAAATGAAATTTTATAATGCCAAATGTACAACATTGAAACCCTTACCAGTAATCCTTTATTGTTTCTAGTGCTTTTGATACTCCAAAATATGACTAGTATTGATGGTCTAAATTAATTATGACTGAAGTAATGGGGTCCCTTACTAAAAAAAAAACTAATCAGCATTGATGAATTGATTCATTGAAAGGCCAGTTGGATCTGAAATAGGACTGCACTTTGCTGATCACATCACAACTGCACTTTGTTTATTCCTTTACTTTTATCTCTGTTTTCTTTTTGTTTTTTATTGTGAATCCGTTAACTTGGCTTTTATGGAACTAAGCACCATGATGTACTTAGCTATGTTTCTCAAACCTTCATTTACTTAATCATTCAGGTGTCCACATCATCAACCTTGGCAAAACTTGGGAGAAGCTTCAGCTAGCTGCTAGGGTCATAGTTGCGATTGAGAACCCTCAGGATATCATTGTCCAATCTGCAAGGCCATATGGTCAGAGAGCTGTTTTGAAGTTTGCACAGTACACAGGTGCTCATCCTATTGCAGGGAGGCACACACCTGGAACCTTTACCAATCAGCTTCAGACATCCTTTAGTGAGCCTCGTCTTCTAATCCTTACTGATCCAAGAACTGATCACCAGGTAAAAAAAAGTCAGTGAAAGAAATTATTTTTTTCTGTTTGGCTAAAATAGATTAGTTAAGAATGCCTGATCCTTTCACAAACAGCCTATCAAGGAATCTGCTCTGGGAAACATTCCAACAATTTCCTTCTGTGATACGGACTCTCCCATGCGTTATGTTGACATCGGAATCCCTGCAAACAATAAAGGAAAGCACAGCATTGGCTGCCTCTTTTGGCTTTTAGCAAGGATGGTTCTGCAGATGCGTGGCACTATTCCTCTTGGGCGTAAATGGGAAGTAATGGTAAGGTTACATCATAGTAAGGCATTAATTGATTAACCACCCTTTTTAGGCTTTTGAAAAGTCATAATTCAGTTTGATACATGGTTCATTTGATTTTTACATTATTAAATGTATATTCTTGGCAGCCTTTGCAAAGAGTTGCATGGTGAACCATTTGTGTAAATCAGGAGCACAGTGAAGCACAGATCTTTTAAGCCATACATGCTCTTTTCTAGAATTGTCTTGTGTCCATCAATATAAGCTTTTAGAACACTCAAGAACTGGCTGCTTGCAGGGTCCCCTGGTTCCAATACAAGGAAAAAAGAAAGACTCATTAAACTACTGTGCCATTTTTGGTCTTTTTTTCCCATTGACAAATAAGTTGGACCTTTCTTAAATAACTATATTATTAATCTTTTATAAGTGAAGAAAGTAGTTTCTTTAAATAACTATTCAGCTTTGTACTTAAAGAATTATATAATTAAAAACATGGTTTTTTACTTTATTGTCTTGTCTGTTGTCTTTTGAGTATCTTCATTTGCAACTAAGCTGGGGCTTTGCAGGTTGATCTGTTCTTCTATAGAGATCCTGAGGAGGCCAAGGAACAGGCAGAAGAAGAGGCTCCAGTTGCTCCTGATTTTGGTGCAGTTCCTGATTATGGTGCTATGGTACCAAATGATCAATGGACCACAGAACAGTGGATGCCTGAAGTGGGAGCTGTACCTGCTGCTGTGCCTCCAGTTGCTGGGGTTGAGTGGACTGCTGGTCAAGGTTAGTTGAAGTGGCCATATGGTGATATATATTGTTTTATTTCTGTTTATACACTATGATGCCATCTTGATGTTAGTCTCAGTTACACCAATCCCGAAATAAAAAAAAAGTGAATTCCATGAGATTATGCTAATATTCTGTCCTAACAAGACATAGGTTAATGATATTTCATATTTACCCTCTGAATTATTTGTTCAAGCTTAAGAAGAATATGTGCAATTATTTGCTTTTAACAGTACATCTCACTTTTAAGATTCACATTTGTGCAGAATATGTTAATTGTTTACTTATTTATTATGAAAAGCTTAACGAATTATATCTGCGACGAATATTTTATGTGCATTCTAGTAACTACGTTCTTGATGGCAGTCTACACATTGAGCCATATAAAGAACATCTTAACTTGTGCAATTCCTTGTGTTCCAAGGATCATGTGTAACATATTTTGGTTTTTCTGTGAACAGCACCTGTAGCTGCAGATGGATGGGATGCAGCTGCAGCTCCAGCTCCAGTTCCACCTCCACCGGTGGATGTTGTTGCTGCTCCTGCTGGTGTTCCATCTGGTTGGGAGGCTGATCAACCTACTACTGCTCCCTCAGGTTGGGAGTAACGGAAGGCCAATATGCCTGTGTCAACTCACGAGTGCGTGGATTAGTTTTTATCTAGGCAGCACATTGGTGCTTCTATCATGCTTTTGTTTACTATCTGACTATTTAGCTCTGAAACTAGTCCTATCCGCCTATTATTTTTCTCGTTTTTGTTCTTTTGCCTTGATGTCTTAGAACCATGACTATAAATTTGATGCATTACCTCATTTTCATCTTTATCTTCTATTTCATTGTCATTATGGATTTATGTATCTTGGAGTATGAAAGCTTGCTATACACAATTAGTAATGGATGTCAATTATATTCATTGCTAATTTTAGGACTCAATCCTCACCAATGGATGGTTTTTAGCAGTATTTCTTGGGGATCAAAGATGATCAACTTCCCTGATCATGAGATGCTAAATGCCAACTTTTTCTCATCATCCGAGTGATGCTAAACTCAAACAAGACGGATTTGTTTGAAAGCTCTACTAAAACCCATTGCAGAGAAGGAAATCATCTGTCACAGCAAGACTTTTTATTTCATGTTGGCACATATCAACAATCTACTTCAAGATAGTATATCACAGGAGCTTACTGCCATAGAAATTTCATGTTCAATACTAGTACTAATTCATGCAACAGTTTTTGTCAACATATGTACATTCTCCAATGGAGTTGGGGCTTATTGACAACAATACCAGTGCCTTTTCCTCTGCAAAGCAAATTGAGTATCTGATCATCTAGAACAGAGTGTCCCTACCCAAGCAAGCCATTCTTCTAAGTTAGCAAAATATTGGCCAAGATTGGTAAATCTACCCATCAAACGCATCTCCCTGTAATACACAATATGCATTAACAATTATGGCAACAAAATTATGTTATACAATGTTATTATTTTCTTGTGGAGACCTGTGTTGATCAAAGTACATGACTATCCTTTTCACCCACAATAAGATCATGAAGCCATCAAGGAAGAGAATGAAATCAATTTAGGACACCCTCTTCTTAACCTGATTTTGATACAAGCAATGCACTTTATGTGCTTGTCATGATTCCAATGCATCAAGTCAATCACAATTGCCCACTCAATTATTTTTACCAGAGTGTGTCTATGCTAACATCAGTGGTTATGTATTGAAGTCTGAAATCCACTATCAGATTCCATGTAGATGAGAATTCTATCACTGTTCTTCAACCACTAGCTGCACAAGAAAGAAAACAAGATCCATATATATGCACATACAAGGCTTCAAGGTTGTTTATCTGTCATTAAAAATTAGATTTCATGAGTTGAAACTGCACAGCTCATAGCTTTTGCAGCTAGCAGGATCAAATGTCACTTTCATATACTATTTAAATTACTTTACAGTCTTTAGGTTTTTTTTTTTTTTCTTTTTTCACCTGAATGTATGTAGAATGACCAAAGTACTACTACTCTTTACTGGATTGATGAACTTGCATAGAGTAAAACATTGTCCAGTTTAAATTGACTAGCCCTAGGTTATTATGACAAGTCATTGACTTCATGCATACTTTTTTCTATGATATAAAAACTATTTTCCTCTCAGACACATGATGGCAACATTCACAGTTACTCCTGTGAAAAAAAAATAAAGGTCATACACAACATGCAAAAGAATAGAATGATCTCAAGTAGCTCACCTGGAAGATGATAAATCACTACCATTGAGGGGCATGGTTGAAGGCAGCTCTGAGATCACATGATTGCTTGTTGTAGCATCACAAACAGATGCATATGTGTGGACTTCATGTTGGATGCTGCTATCTGATAGGAATCTTTTTAACAATGGTCTGCAATGAGAAGTAGCAAGTAATTACAACTCTTGTCTCTAAAAAAAAATAAAGAGCCTCATTTCCATATATGAAGGTGAAAAAAAAAAAGTAGCATGATGCATTATTAGCTATCTATTGTTATTTGAATAATCAGTAGTGTCCAAACATGCTTAACAAAAAAAAAAATTACACATACATTCCTGACCAAATATTTGAGAAGTTGAAGATGATTTATTTGTAAATGTTTACCTACCAATTAATATGAATTCCTGGATGATGCAATCCAATCAAGGTCAAGAAATCTCAAGTTTGATGAAGAACTTATTAGTGTCTACCTATTGTACAGAAGAAAGAGCATTGTACTGTTTGTGTTTAGGAAGACATGGGACCAACAAGTAATCTTAAATTTCTTGGGAAAGTTAGACAAAGATCTACTGAATAGAATAAAAGTAAAAGAAATTTAAAGTTTTATTTAATTAGATTACAGTTACTATGGTGTTGATTTCTTAGTTTAGATAGAACAACACAATGAGCAGTGCTTATGCATTGATCTGCAGAAACATTATCAGAGGAAGAATAGCTTCTAATTGCACAAAGATTGAGCAATCTGAAGTAGCTCACCTAGAATATGGCATGTCAGTCTCATCTAGATCCATATATGAAAGCAGCTCTGAGATCACATTTCTTCTTGTCCTTACATCAGTATTAGATTCATCTTTGTTGACTTCACATGTGACATTGCCAACTGATAGGGATTTTCTGAAATGTGATCTGAAATGGAAAGCTGCAATGTTAGCCAGAATTCTAGTCTTGCAAATGAAAGGCAAATCAATCAATGAACACACTCTTGTCTACTATGTTAGCTACTTGTGGAACTGCTATGAAGAAGAAAGATGAAGGTACCTCCCTACATCATGATGCTGATCTGAATCCAAATCAGAAAGCTCTGGTTTATTCTGCCAGGGTACAATGTGCCCTAGGAACCTGCATCAAGAAGTAAGTTTACAGAAGAAAAAAAATTGTTTATTCATAGGAAAAAATAATGTTGCAGCCTACAAGTTGATGGCCTCCTGTTTCCTGGCATCCATGAAGGCATGGCTATAATATCTTTGAAGATTCCTCTGTAACCCTGGCCATAGTGTTAATGGCACCCATCTGCCATTGTTCTTGTAAGGTATCTGTGTCAAGAGCAATTAAGTTCATAGAAGATAATGCTACTTGCACATAAATATGAACTCTGCAAGTGGAAATACCTTGTCATGAGCTGCAGAACCAACATATTGTAGAGCAAGTCTGTCTCCCATTTCGCGATAAAAGTTCATCAGATCATCAGCCAATGGGTCTTCTAGATCAACCTCTGGGACATCTTTAATCCCCAATGCATGCAGCTGATGACCAAGAGCAGTCAAACCATATGCAATCTGAGCAGCATTGGTGCGATCCAAGCAGTCTATGCAATTTGTTCTGAGGACACCTTTCTGTCTCCTCTGTGGTGTAGCCAAGCCATTCCCATCCTGTTGGGTTCTGCGTGAAGAAGACGCACTCTGCGAGATATCAGAGCTCTGTTCGGAGCCGTCGTTCCTGTAGCATGTCGCAGATAAGGAATCGTGGCATTACGAGGATGTCACAAGACATGTCGAGGTTGGGAATTATAGTGCATACAGAAGGCTGAGCCAGTTGAGAGCATCATCCATGGTTGGCGTTCGTCGACAGTGAAAGAAGCCGGTTAGATCCATTGCGCATGCAGCCACTTTGCACAACAATGCCAATGCTTCTGTGCTTCTTCTGCAACAATTTCATCGACTTGGATCAGAAGAGATCGAGAACAGAGCACAGTGGAAGCAAAGCCACCACATACCTTCGACAGATACTTTGCAAGTCCCAGTGGAAGTATATCAACCGATCCGATTCCGGCAAATCCTTGTTTATATGATTTATTGCATCTACAAGCTTTTCGGTGAGCAATGATTCTCGAGGTTTCTTCTCTTGCTTCTGGATGGATCACAAAAAGATCACTACATGTCCTAAAAGATCAGTTCTTGATAGATTGCTACCTTGATCATGTTCAAGACGATGATGGGGTTCTCGTATCTGTTCACAAGGTTCTCAAAATGAAGCCGTGTCGCCTCGAAGTTGTCGTCCTTCTTCTCCACTGAAACAAGGAGGAACATCTCGTTAACGATCGGTCTCCGAAGTGCACCACTCACTGCAACTTACAGATGATATCGGGCTTAAATCCTAGTCTTCGCGTTCCCTGAGACCAGAACAGAGGTATGGATCCTCTGTTCTGCACAACAGATGTTATTTCTCTGGGAATCTCATCGGGTTGATCGCAGAACACAATTTGTTCCGTCTCAACATCATTAGCCACTCTTCCCTTCTCGTCGACACCGCGTCTCAGGTACCTGTGATCACCATAGACACTGTCAAGCACTTCATGGAAGATCCACCGCGCAAGAGAAGAGTTACCGGTGACCTGGTGCCAGCAAAATGTCGAGATCGTCGGGCAATGAGAGTGAATGTGAAATCTTTGCCGGCATGAGAAAGTTTGCCCTGAACAAGCCATGAAAAGATCAAGTCTTGAGAGCAGAGTCGAACCAAGCTTTCCAGACCTTACCTGCTTGAAAGATCCATGTACCAATGCAACAGTCCACGCGGTGTTCTTGAGATGATCGCGGATACCGCAACTCAAGAACTCGTTCCAGACGAACATGGTCTCATATAGAGCTTCCTCTGGCACACCATCACACATGTTCTTCTGAAGACTGCACATGATGTTGTAGGAGTAACTGAAGAAGAAGTCCTTTGTCAGATCCACTGCGCGTAACAGCCTCTTGTATCTACACATAGATCACCAAACCAAGATTGGTGTCTCCAAGACAAATGATATGAAGGGATTGGGACTGATCATTTCTTATCTCCGTTAGAAATCCTATGAAGGGATTGACAGTAACCTGTATTCAGCCCCAACAAAGGGCAGGTAGGAGCTTCGAGCAGAATCTGAAAGTGGAATCATTTGGCTTCTGGTGACAGCATAGATGGCATGGCCACAGATGGCACCAATCTTCTTCCTCCCAGTGATGAGCAACATGTAGTAAGGGCCCAAGAACTTGACAAACCCTGCAAATGAAATATATGCATGAATCTGAACTCTATCATGCTTTTCCATGAGATCGAGGCTGCACATACCAACAATCCCATAGCACACAGTGATCTTGTTGAGTCCACCGGTTACATTGTTCTCATGATCTAATTGCTCCAGCAAACATTTGCATTCACTTTTCGAGTATGTGATGGGATCCTCATAGATGTTCAACTCAGAGGGCTGCGACCTATCAATCTTCAGAACTCTCCACTGTTTCCTGCTTTCATCGCTTCCGACTACAAAAAACATCTACAGCACAATGGGACATCCAACACATGTATTAAATTGAATCGATCTCAAGAACTCTGCAAAATCTGCCTGAAGCAGAATCCTTCACGCAACAATGCGAGAACTTAGGAAACAAAGAATCGATGGTGAGAAGTAGCAGAAGAAGATAACATAGATCCTAACCACTTCAAACAACACAAGATCTTCCCACCCGGGATAAAAAGATCCAATCTTGGACGTAAGATCAACCACTCACCGATCGAGCTGCATACAGAGTGAAGTTCTGGAGGCGCCCGCGGCCGCCGCCGGCGACGGCATCAGCTTCCTCCACCGCTGCCATGCGACAACCCCACGTCTCGCCCTCCGCGGCCGGTCGATACCGAACCGAAGGAAAATGACAAGCGACAGGACTAATCCGCCATGAAAAGGTCTGCTCTCGAGAGCAAACAAGGGAGCGAAGAGGTATTGATCATAGAACACCAATGGAGATGCCTTCTTCGTTCTCGCCACCACCCGATTTGGAGGAGGGGGGAGCGTCCGGAAGCAGAACTCGTGTGACAGTTGAAATCGCGAGCTCCGCGGAGAAACAAAGAAGATTACGGCGGAATCCCTGTCAGATTCTCTTCGGTCAAATTTACAGATACGGTCTTCCATATTTATAGATACCTATGAAACCAAAAAGATGGTTTTACATATATATCCTTTTAAAATTTACAAATATTACATTTACCCTTATAATTTTATGGTAATATAAAAAAATGTCACGTATACATACTTCAAATGTTAAGGTTTTTCAAATATATATTTCTCTCTGTACATAGATAATTGTAGTTAACATTATCTAATTTAAGTTAGAAATATTTAAATATCTAAAATGTGCATATTTACCCTAAACTATTTAAATATCCCTAAGAAATCAAAAATATAAAAAAATTTCATACGCTATTTTATTTAAAATTTTAAAATATCATATTTACCCTTATAAATTTTAATATAATATGCATATCTTTGATGATAAAAAATCCTACACATATATCCTTTCATATACTAAGATATTTCACATAGCTAATTGTAGTTAATGTTATCTAACTTCAATTAGAAATATTTAGAAATATATAAAATATTTTTACTCACCTTTATAAATTTACCCTTAAATATTTAAATTTCAATAAGAATCTAACTATCTAAAATATTTAATGCATTCTTTTTAGTTAAAAATAGCATCTTTACCTTTATAAATTGCGCGTGCACACACACACACATATATGGCTGATCTAATTGTGGATCATGATATCTCAATCCTAAACTTGGAAGTATCAAAAGGAAGCCAGAAATGCAAAATAAATAGCATTCATGTTCTAAAATTTGTCATATATCGACATACAGTAATTTGGATCAACCAACAAAGTATAGCTCATGTTGAGTGAGAGAACAAGTTTTTCTGGTGCGTAAACTGTATCGATTGACAACAGCAAATTAGTTGAACAATTTCTGAGGAAACATGTATATGTCTGCAAGCAGATGCTAAATTTTTTTCTTCACCTGGAAATGCTCTTCACCATTTTAGAGGAAGGACCTTCCAGTCGAATGTGGTATTCAGAGGATTCTGCAACCTGAGAGCCTCAAAAGCTCAGAATTGAAAGAAACATCAATCACGATTTTTTTCGTACTTCCAGTGCCGATGCAGCTGATTCGACATGTTCAAGTAAGCAGACATAGATCTTTTGTTTCAACCGATCGATGGTCCCGAGTAATCCATCTGCTTCAGTGCCTGCATCTTTTCGAAGTTGATCTAACCAGGTACTTGCATCCTTGAGCTGTGAAAGTGTTACAGCAATCAGTTCATCTGATTCCTTGGAGTGCCCTCCGCTACGATCCTTCACACCCTTCTTCGTTCGAGACTCTGCATAGAAGCCACTGTTAAGAGCATTTTCCAAGAAACTCAAGAACCATGACCGTGATTCCTGTCGGAGATTGGCCCTTAGTTCTTGGATCTCCTTCAAGCCATCCCCTCTTGACCATGTTATCTTTTCATTTCCGCAGGATGCCTCTGCAGGGTTTGGAGCATTTAGAACCCTTCTACTGTTAGGCAATGCAGTTTTCATAATCAGCTTCTCTCCTTCTTGAGCCAGTTGCTTGGGTATCCCAGTCAAGTTATCTTTCTCAATGGCTATGTTTGGCTGATTTAAGAGCTGATGTAGTGAAAAGAACTTTGCCAGAGAGACATGGAGCTTCTCCTCCATAGAAGACTTGCGCAGATCTGCAAATATGCTGAAAACCAGAAGCATGACTTTTTTAGCTCAGAAAAAGGGCAGGATGACAACAGACAGGAAGTGGAAAAAGGATCATCAAACTTGAATTAGTTCAATAATAGGCTATCCATTTCTCAACAGATGAATATCCTATCATTTGAAAATGTGAATTTATGTGAAACCATATAGCAGGTGATGCCCAAGGTTTCCTGGCCTCATTTATAGATTTCATTCGTTTAGTTTTTATAGTGAAATTAACTTCAATTAAGAAAACCACAAACGTGTTCCATTTGGAAATTTATAACACTCTATGCACAATCATTCATACCCACCATTTTTATTTGATTTCATCATTTAGCAGAATCCACATATTTCATACAGAGGTTAGAACATTGAGGGGCTGCATATGCTCATGCAAATCTTTATAGGGGAGACAACCATAGTTATAGATCTAAGCATTAGAACCTTGTGTTGGATGATACAGAAGGAAGTTTTCAACTTTTATGATGGGACTGAAGTTATCATATCTGTTGCACATACCATGTAACCTTGCAATCAATACTCTAAGTTCTTCTAGAAACATTTTTCCACGAGCGAGAAAGATAACAGCATAGCAAGTTTGTGCTTAAATTAACAAGAATGCATCACTTACTTAAGTACAACATGAAAAACTAAGTAGAGATGGTTGTTCCATCAAAATCTAAGCTAAGAAATGTGCTTCACTAGGGTTGTGATAATTCATTCAGAATTTAGACCAAAAAATTAACCATTTTATCCCAATAATTGAGCTTGCCCAGCTAAGAGAGCCATCTGTGATTCCCCTAAACTTTAAAATACCCTGGATTTATCTACTGGGACAAAAACCTAAGTACTCATAGGAGAAACCACATCATCAGTTACAGAAGAATAAAACAATGATTAACAACAACCTCAGCTCCCTTGGGAAACCAGCATCAAGAGTATTTAAGATGGAAGATGCATAAAAAGTTTGATTGGCTCAAAGTTTTAATAACTGTGATAATATGAAGAAAAAAATATGACAAATATTTTCAATAACATACTCACCTAAGGCCTTTAACAAGAGCTGCAGCTGTAGCCGCTTCTCGTTGGGCCTCAGCTGCTACTAGAAAAGCTATTTCTTTTCTTTTAACCATTCCCTATTTAGAGAACAATTAAGAAGTAAGTGGAGGGTACACGCACATGATATAGAACTCATAGTGATAATGTAGAACAAAAGATGTAGATCAAGCAACTTTAATTTCATGACAGAAAAACTAGATTACACTTGAGGAGAAATTGCAATGGAAATATCTAAGAGGTGAGACTGACACCAACAAAGAACCGAAGGAAAGATATACATGTACCAGGGCATTGAAGACAAGGGGTCTAGATGTGAGAATAAACAAACTTTTGCAAAAGCTAGAAAAACAGATATCACTCATAAGAAATTGCTTTAAGAGAAAGATTTGTCCATGCTCTAAGTTTATCCCACTAGCATGTTGATAAGAGACTTCCATGTTTAAAATCCAGGGTGTCAACTACCTAAACATGGCATAAGAACAGTCAACAAAGGTATGTTTTAGCATGATTTAACATAAATCTCCTTGTCTAACTGAACATTTAATGGTTGTTCAAACATTAAGAACGAAAGAAAATTAGATTGTCGATATGAGTTCCTTTTCATTTTTTGGACTTTCCAACTATCAAAATTTGCTAATTACTCATACATGTATTGATGGAAGAGTTCCTTGTCTTAGATTAGACTGCTTTCTTATAAACTTATATGCCAACTAGAACTCTCTGAAAGTGATTTATGATACTGTCAATTACCTTCCCAGGGTTGATTAGGCTGGCAGGAAGAGAGTCCCATGGGATGGCATCCGCAACTCTTCTTTTATTGCTGCTCAATGAAGAGGACATGGTGTTGGAAGATGACATCTTCTTTATAATAGGATTAGATTTGACAGACATGTTCTTCAGAGGTTTTGCATCATCTTTAAGGGTAGCAACATAATTTTCCTGCTTTTCATTGACTGTTTTGTTCTGAATACATGGAATTGTAGGTTTCGGCTGCAATACTAGCACCAAGAACAGCCATCAATGATCTAAAGAGAAATTCTATATATTAATTTACACATTGAAACTTCACTGCTATAGAGATTGACTTGTCCATATTGAATAATGACACAGCTCTTTCATAAAGATAGATAATAGGGAGATTATGATTACTCTTGTGATACTAACAATGACTAGCTGTCATTCAGAGAGAGAAATTGAGAGAGAGAGAGAGAGAGAGCTTAGCTGGGTAATGCCATGAGGATTTTCAGGGCCTGTCTATCTTTATCAGCTACTAGTAAGTCATGAGCATAATATAATAATAGATCTCTATATACTTTCATGTGAAGATGTGTTTGCTTGAATGCTTACCCTGACGTTTAGTCTCGTGCTTGACTCTGGAAGGAATAGTCTTCTTCTCTGGTTCAATAACACTACTATTTTCTTCAATTTTATCATTAATAGAATAAGATTCTGAACCAGAACTTTTCACATTACTCCTTAAAACACCTTGCATGTATCGAGAAGCAACCACATTCTTCTCTTCTTTGATGTCTACTCTATGTTTTGGGCTCTCTTTTTCCCCTTCAAATAATTCATATGACCTGGAAGTGTTCTTTAAATGATCGGCTGTATCTGAAGCGTCAGAAAATACCAACATATTCATTAGATCCTTTGGATTCCCAATGCACGGGTTCCTTCCAGGCACAGGTCGCACACCAACAAGGACTGGAACTGGGGTTCCAGCCTCAACTTTGTCAATGTAGATGAATTGCCCAAGTTGAAGCTTGTTCATTAAGATCAGGTCATTGTCATCTTTAGATAATGAAACATATGTGGAATGCGAAGAATCAGAGACCTTTATGAAGAAACCATGGTCTGGCCAAAGCTCTGAGCCAGTCAAAGCAGGCACAATGCTGATTACTTGAAGAAGAACTGACCGGTATTCTCCACATATTTTTATGTCAGTATTTAAGTTCTTGAGAAGCTTTATTAGTACCCCTGGAGTAAGAGATGCCATGTTCCTCCTCCCCTTCTAACCTTTAGATATGTCTGAACTCTGAAGTGACAACAACTGTGCAAAGAACAGAGAATAACATGAAACACACATTAAGTAATATCAAGGAAATAAAAGTGAAAATACATTCTTCAAATTTTTTTTTAAATCAAACAATCAATTATTGAAAGGAAACAGAATGTTTTGTATAGGAAATTAATAGTAAGAAATAACTTGCATAGAAGATAAAACTAGTTACATTACATATCAATGTGGTTAGAGCACACCACATAAAATTCAAGAGTTTGCTTTCTTCTAAAAAAATAATAACTAGAGCTTTATGACTCATTGTCAAACTTGCATCTCCTAAGATAATGGCAAGTTTCTAACCACAACAAATATAAACACAAGGAATTTTGTTAAAGCCTGCAAGATAAAGCATCAGATTGTGAATCATCAAATACTACTTACAATCAAACACCATCGGGTATAAATATGTGCTGCACTTATTCTCTACACAGATAAAGAATATTACTCTCGGATGACAATTTGTATGTCATCAAACACCACTTACAAATCTGTCACAAGTACACCCAGGATCAACTTGTGCTCACTGAACCACTCCCATTATAATGTTTCACTATACTTTGTTTTGAGGTAGTTGTCTGCTATGGTTCCTCCTGTTTATATCATCAGAGTACAAAATAAATCCATAAGGGATGAGCATCAGATTGATTAAGGCTATTCTAATATTGTACAGCTGCATACAGATCTCATTCTTTTCCTATTTTATTCACCAAAGTCAACTAGTTATGTTCCACAAATCCAAAACTAAAAGAAGAATCATATTGATTTTCATAAAGAAACAGATGGCCTTGATATATTTTATGGGTCAACCCTTATGTTTTTCTTTTTTAAAGAAACGAAACTAAATAATTTAAATCTAAAAACCTTATCCTCAAGTTGCAAAATGAGTTAGTTTTAGACCTGTCAATATCTTTCAGTACTATTTAAACTAGTTCACAGAGAGAACAAGCTAGAGCATAAATTATTGAAAGGTGTACCATTCTCTCATCATACCAGTGTCTAAGATTGGAAATGGTCCATAGAGAAAATTCAGCAGCATTTTACTTGGCACAGGCATAATACCACTGATACAGATGTAAATCTTTCACTTGGTAGATCTGTATTGAAAGGTCTTCATGTTGGTATCATATTCAACGTGAATATGAAAGGTAGTGCCCTTCTGAGTCAAGGAAAATACTAGTGGAACTTACCCCCAAAAAAATGTTTGTGAAAAGTTCAACTGCAGACGGAGAAGAAAAAAAGCAGAGCCCTATACTACCCACCTGAAATTGAAATCCAACTGCAGTAATGCATTTAGTCAAACATTTCGAGGGTAATCAGCAACCACAGATAATTGTTGAGACGCAAACATTGTTAAACCAAATATATAGACGATTCAAGGTCTGTTTCTTTTTTCTCTGCCCCATTTGATATTTATCTTTTAATAAACCATGTAGGCCATCTTGCCCACCATATAACCAAAATAAATGATAAATTGTTGCCAAAATGAGACTTTAGTGCCCTCTTGGACAATCGGTGAAATGCTTCAACACTAAATCAAATGAAAAAAATCACAAAGATGGCCTAAACTTTAAAGCCAGAGTAAGAAACACCAAAGAGAATTCACAGCAAGGAGCATTTGAGCTTAAAAATACATTATATCTTCGCACGATTCATGTCAAACAGACTTATCCAAACACCAAGATGCAAAACTAAGAAGCGACTAGAACCAAATAAGAAGAACATGAATAGCCATTGGTTCTGAATTGTGGAAGATAATAGAACCCATTGGTTCTGAATTGAATGCAGGCATCTTTTCACTAAGGAGATTAATCCATCGACCAATCAACAGAAGCAAAATAACAAATTTGATCACGAAGCAAATAACTTACTGCAGATTCCTGCAAAACAACACATGCATGGGCAATTACAAGCATACACAGTTGAATTGCACGGACTCATCTGTACAAAAGCATGATGGAAGTCCTGTACAATCAAACATTTAACGACAGAAAAAAGGGAGAAAAAACAGATCTTGAATGCATCAACCATGATATCAATTGTAGCATTTAGTTTGAGATGAAGAAACAGAAGCAAAAGAACAAATACGAGCATGCACTCCTGCTTTATCACATGCATGGACAACTAGAACAGCAGAAAGCTGAATCATACTGACTCATGCAGACCAAAACATAATGAATAGCTCCTGTGCAATCGAGAAAAGGAGAAGAAACAAGTCTTAGATGCGCACCTGCCAAGGAAGAACAGGGAGCAGGGAGCTTTTGGGGCTCTAACCCATGGAAGACCGCTTAAGAAAACAATTGGTACGCGACACTTTGGCTCGCGCGGCAAGGGGAGTTCTCCCGTGCCTTTCAAGCGAGATTTGACCCCCGGACGAGGCCCATCTCACCATAAGCGGTGAGGCCACGAGGATGCGCAACATCTGCCGTGACGGAAGGTGGGAGATGAGGCGGTTGTGGAGTCCCCGTCGCCACGGAATCATTCAGGGCGGGTCTCTGTCTTGCTTTGCGGTGGGTGGGTTACTGCAGCTCAAAGATTTGGTGTGGGGTTGTCGTCATGAATGGTGGAAGGACGTGCTGCATTAATTGACTTCGTAATTTATTTGAGTTGATGGCGCTCCATTCTTCTCTATTGAGGATAAAAACCTGCAGTCACAGAAAGGATAAGACAGACGTAAGAAGGAAGAAGAGAGAACAGATAGCGTAATGGAGTGCACAACTACAGGCGTCAAGTAGAATGCAGTTTAATGTATTCATTCCATTGATTAGACTAGATGGAAGCTTTCTCGGAAGTCCAAATGATCGACGAGAAGACAGAGTGGAAGAATGGAAGGCAGATGTACAGGCGAAACAGGAATTCAATGCCTGTTTGGTTCAATGATGGAAAAGCCCAGGTAAATACTTCGATGAGGATCTACAAATTCTCTTCTTTTTCTCTCTAAAGACGATAGAATAGGTGATCGACACCGAAGAACGTAGGCAGGAGAAGGTATTAGAGAGCATACTTGGTATCAGACCCCTCATCAGAACCATAATTTCAATGACGAGATGAGTAGCTCGGCCTCCGATCGATTAACCAGAACGATGCATCGATCACGGTCGATGGCCACGGGAGGTGTTCGGGGCCGCACCTGCTCCTGTACTCCGGCATCCACGCTGAGCCGTTCCTCGACCACCGGCCAAAGGTGTGCACCGAAGGTGTTCGGAGAAAGAACTCGAGCGCCAAAATAGGCTTGTTCATGGACTTACACTGAGGCCTACTTGGCGAAGAGTAACCCAAGAACTGTTTCTTGTAAAGAGACACACAACCTCCTAATATATGCACAGCATATATAGAACAACATATGAATGATTGTTCTCTGTGACAAGAATATATGAACCACAGAAAGGAAGAAACAGAAGAATAAGATAAAGAGCAAGCCTTCTCATTTGTACAAATCGATTGCTTACTACCATACTCTTGCTTGTTCCTGTTCAGACAAATTTTGGTAATATAAAGACATGCTACAACTGAAAAAAGAACACCTCGGTCGGCCATGCAATAGCCTAACAAATTCTACTCAACCAAATCTACAACAAAACAACAGATGACTGTGGTCGAGAACCCACGAACAAGAACTGAGATGGAAGGATACATACAACACACTAGAGCTGCAACATCGCATCTATTGGAAAATTGTAACAATATGTACCTAAGCCATATCGTGTCATTACTTTGAGCTTCTAGGTAATCCAGTGTCACCTGGGCTTGGATTCCTTGCTCCGGAATGAAGACAGAGAGAAGAAAGAGCGTGGTGCTGCAAAAAAATTAGGCACTATGTAAGAAGCCAATTCAAGATACAAAATATCTCACGGAAATACTCGGAAAATGTGAGGTCCAGAATCAGGATGCTGTTGTTACCTTTCAGGGAGCTTCCGGTTAGAGGATCCTCTCCCAGTTTGAAGTTTGAAGGAGGATTTGGAATGGTGCTGCGCAACAATTGAGCTGCATATAACAAACATATGCAATCTTAGCATAATAAGTTTCTAAATTCTATATATTATATATTCATGTCATGATTCACCAATTAGAAGAAAAGACAATGGATCAGGAGGTCATCAAAAGATATACAAAGTCACTCTATATTTTGTCCAACAAATACCTTCTTTGACGGAGTTATATGGTTAACTGCAAGGTTAAGAACACGTCTGAGTATCTTATTGACGTTTTACATCCTTGCAACAGCTCAAAGACCATCAGATTTTGTTTATATAATCTTTACCATTTAAACCAGCCATCCCATCACCTATTATTAGTGGCTGTTTCCTGAATTGAACCCTATCTTTGTTTTCTGATAATATGGCTCTCACAGTCGATGATCAAAATGAAAAAAAACTGCATGAAGCTGAAATTTTTTGTTATTCTGAGTTGGTTGCATCCAAGGCTAAACATTACATGATTGAAGACTTCCACATTTTGGTGACTACAAAAGAAAGCATTGGTCAGGCAAGTGAGGACTTCTGACAAGCCTGTGAAAAAGCAGAGCAATCATCTAGACAAGAACCTTATGGAATTCAAGCTTGATATAACAAGTCAATATCTGATGATGACTTTTTGGATAAGTTAATTAGTTCCCTTTTCATAGAAAAATTCCATGCCAGGTGGCTGCCACCACATGTAACAGATAAGGCACAGTACATCATCGTATCAATGTGGATGTACTAACATTGAATAAAAGAAGAGACAAAGAAAGAGAAAGGAAAATTAGGATATGCAAAAAATATAATTTCCACTTAAGCACCAATGTTCTTGACCCTTAGCGACTAGCCAGCAGAAAAGGCATTCATAGGTCAAGCCTTCAGGGCAACCCATGAATTGGCAGGGCGAAATTGAGGTATTCATTGACCAAATCCTACTTTATATAAGTAATGGGTCACTTAGAGGATTCAACATATTCAACCGGTAAAACCAACCAAGGGGGTACTAATCAATAGAATTGGTATGTGCATTCCATGTTCAGACTCCATATCTGTGCAGTACGAACTGCCTGGCATGATACAGTAATACCACCATGCACCGAGCATAGAAGAAAAAAGGACTCATTGATTTAGGATACACTGAACTGCGGTAAAATACATGATCAGAGGAAGCAACATTTATGAAAGGAATAACAGAATCCCATTTGTCAAAAATGGTGAAGAAGATATACAAGAGGAAAAGAATGCTACCTTGTTCAGGAAAGATTTCTCCTTCATTGAACCCATCATTTGGAAGTGAGTACCCCATTCTCGACTTCCTCAAATCATCTGTTGGTCGTGTTGCCAAATCACGACCTTCTTCTGTGTCGTCATCACCTTCTGAAGCTGTTGAAGCAGACACCCAGTCATTTACTAGAGACTCTACACCCTTACTCTTCCTTCCAAATTTCAATAATCGCTTAAAACCTTTTGTGACATCCTTGCGTGATTGTTGGGATGCATTAGCAACAATCATAGGCATCTGAGCACTTCCCCATTTCTTCCTCATTCGAGCAGCATCTGCCTCTATCATTTGGTTCAGAGGGTGTAAATTCCAGGATGCCGGACTACCTGCAGGTGAATCTACAGATATTGCCTCATGAACACAAGAAAATGAATGGTGGTGTTGTGAGTTCCATGATCGAGGGCTTTCTCCTGGTGACTCTTGTGCGTTCCCTACAGAAGTTTCGAACTTTGGAGAAGCAGTAGCTGTATCATAATCTGCTTGGGATAGGAACCTTTGAACATCACCATTTTCTGAGACAAAATCATCAGAATTTTCATATTCTACACTCTGTCTTGGCTTTTCACTATCTGAGTCAACAGGAAAATCAGCAACCTTAGGATCTCCTTCGACAGACGATCTCTCCAATACATGTTTATCCAGGTCAACCGAATCCGTTTGCTGAATTATGCCTTCAAAATGCTCTCCATCCTTGTTTACCTCAGAAATCATAGAGGCTTTAGGTTTAGCTACATTAGCTCCAAAATCAGAACCTGTACCTTTCCCTTTCCTTAAGAATGGTTTAAACTCCCCACTCTTCTGGATTTTATTGATAAAAGCAGAATCTGTTTGTGCCCTAGAAAACCCAAAGGATGTGAGATCAAGGCTATCAGAATTGACAGGAGAAAGGTCCTTGAATTCAACAGGAATAGGTGTACTCTTTCTCATTGACTGAGACATTCGTGGCTTGGCTTCCTTAACAAGGTTAGTCTCTTCAATGATGCTCTTGCTTCTAGAAAGGACTTTTGCCTTCTCTCGTGTGTTTACCCTATTAACTGCTGCTGATGGCTTTGCATTCTCCTTTCTGAAGTCAGAGAAGTTGGGAAGTGATTCAGCAAGAGGATTTTCAGTTTGAGACCTGTGTTTTGTGGAAACAGATTTGGCAGACTTTCCAGAAGGCTTTTGAGCTGAAGCTACTGATGTCCGAAGTGTGGAAGAAGGCAAAGTTCTTGCAGGGAGAAGTTTAATGGAGTTAGTACTTCTAGAAGAATAATCATCAAATGGACCATTGTATGATGCATCTTGGCCTTGACCAACTTGTTCATACAATTCTTCCAGGTCTTCCTCCTCTTCCTGAGCAGAGCCGACAGCCTGCTACCAGAAGCACAACTTTTGTTTAGCCAAAAACTATTGTAGAAAAATTAGATCACCTGTACAATATGTTTAAAGGAAATACAACTGATTGATCAGCAGATTATCAACAGCTACAAGCAAGTAAAAGAAGAGTCGAAGATATTTTTCTACAGAATAAAGAGAGATCACAAATATTCCAAAGAAAATGCATATTCAGTTACTGTTATACATGTTATAATGATTTTAAAAATATGAACCACATATTTGATTGGTGCCAAACAGTGAAAATAGAACCTAAAGAATTCACTATAAATTCAGTGTGATCAGACAAGCTATGATGTCCTTCCCTTTTTTTTCCTTGACTGCTAATTTCAGCCCTCTCTAGTCTTGAATAGACAAAAAAGGCAGCACATCAGGAGGTTTGTACCAATGCAGAGAGGTAGGGCCAATGTGTTCTGCAATTATATTTGGTCTAGAACAGACATAACCATAGTAAGAATTTTGGTCAGATATATATCTCACAACATGAACTCAACTAGTTACATAAAGTTAGCATGTAATTGAAGAGAAACAGACATGAAAATTGAAAATTGAAAATTGAAAATTGAAAATTCTTGAGCTCATTGAGTATTCCGAAATTGCAGTCAGGATTTACTCCAGATCTAAGGATGTCATTTCTATAATCTGGAGACTAATTAATATGCAGTTATACTATGACAACCCTAGATGAAATTTATGCACAAACATTAAAAATAAAAGATTGTTACAAGGACAATTTATGTCACCACCTGGTTTTTGCTTCTTAATGTTGAGCTATTGCTAAAAGATCTCAGATTTTCTGCAAGACGATGAGTGTATTTTGAACCCTGTCTATCAGCAGATCTGGAGTATCTGGAATTCATCTCAGCCTGACTACGTTCCAGACTGTCTCGCATTGCCTTCATTTTTGCTTCCTTCTGAGCGCTTTTTGTTCCCCACTCTTCTAATAGCTTTGCATCCCGCTTCTGCATGTATTTATAATAAAACTTTCCTCTAGAATCATCTGATGGACTGAGAGTTTCAAGATTTTGGCTTATGCTACTAGCATACTCCTTATTGCCTACCTTCTCCAGGAAATTGGCATCAAAGTCTACCTTACTGTTAGAAGTCTCCCTCATAAGTGTTTTCTCTGGCAAGTGATCAGGAAGGACCACTGTGTGTCTTTTCTCCATTACCATGGGAACATGATCCTCCTGGACATCCACTGGTCTGCTTCTTCGAGAGGAAGTTGTCTGCTCACTGAGAGTTCTGAGCTTATGTGCAGCAAAAAGCTTTTCCAACTCATTAGCCTTCATCCATAATTCATCATTTAACTCTTGGTTTCCTTTCAATGGCATCATAACCTGAACCTGCTCCATCCATTGTGCAAAAGGTGGTTCAACTACCTCCAGTTTTTCCTTAGCAATCTCTAAAGGAAAGGCAAGCGGTTGATTTATTTCATGACGTCTTCTTTCATCCACACTTCTCTCAGTAACAGATGGTTGTTGACGCCAATTTAAACCCTGGTACTTGGCATCTTCTTTTGTTGTTGCACGAGAAGAACCAGCATTTCTTCCCCCTGTTTCTTCCACTCTTACAGGAAAAGTTTTCCTCTGAGATTGAGAATTCTGTAGATCACTCTCTGAAGGAAAATCCGATGAAACTTTGAACTGAGAATCTGATGGATCTTTTGCTTTCACTTCTCTCACTTCAGCATCTGTTTTTCTCCCAAATTTTCGAAATCGGTTAACTAGCCTTGCTTGGTCCTTCACCCCATTACCATCTGCTTGCAAAGGAACCCCTCTTTTTGGGGGCGGCAGAATTTCTTGATCTGTCCAACTAACCTTCTCACTAGCAGTTGATAGAGCTTGTGATATTTCTGGCGAAGCTGCTTGGTCTTCCATTTGCACATGTTTTTCTTCCTTTGATTGGATAACACAGGCTGCATGATCTTTCAGTTCAGCATTGTTGCTAGTTTCTGGAAAGCCTATTTGGTGGGTCCTAGAAGCATCTTGATCACCCAGTCCACAGTAATCCACCCTGCTCACAGAAGCACTCATATGATGCTTGCCCTGCTCCTCCTCCAAGTCTGGTCCGACCTTAGTTACAGTGAACTTGACATCCTCATCCTTTAGACAATCTCTACTGCCAAAAAATCCTCTGCACTCGGACTGTAAGGAAGAAGAAGTATCTGTTGTTCTTTCTTTAAGATCCAACCGGCATTGTGATGTTGCAGTATCCTTCAACCCAAGTGTCTCAGTCTCTTCAGTTTTATTTTTTGATGGAAGCTGTAAATTGCCAGTTGCAGGAGTTCCAACAGCACCTCCACTTTCTTTCTGGCCATTAACACTATTACTATTACTGCTGTTGTCAATGCTCATGTCACTAGCACCACTCCACCTTCTCAACACTGATTTCTCTGAAACATCAGAAGGGAGCCTCCTATGCTCCCCTCTACCTGCTACTACCCTATTAACAACACCTGCAGTGTTGATATTTTTAGAACTTGCAGACTGTTCTTTTTGTTTGTTCTCAAAGAGGTTGATCCGGTCCTGCACACTAAGCCGCCTAAAACTCCCTCCTACATCCAGCTGAGCTGGCTCATTAGATGATGAAGCAGAAGGAAGAGGCTCCTCCGACACTGCCCTCCGCCATTGGATGGGCTTGGCCTGTTGAGATGTGCCTGATAACTCTGTTGTATTCAGCCGTGATGGTTGTCTTATGTTGGACTTGTGAAGCTGGATATCACCACCATCAGGTGGTGTAGGACCACCATCATTTTCAAACTCTGGCTCATCTATTGACATGTCTGAGCTTGAGGATGATCGAGTATTCACATCAGCAAAGCTTTTCAAATGTAAAGGCATAGACTGCAACTGCTGCTGGCTCGTAAGCTCAGGGTGACTTTGGCAAAGCACGATGAATTTATTGCATGCATCACTGTTGCCAACACCACAAGTTTGGAAGTTATTATCAATATCAACGTCATTGTAAATTCAGAAAACATTAGTTGATATGAGAAAAACAAGAAATCAACAGCAAACACAGACAAGAAAGAAAAATAAATTGGATATGCAATCTCAGTATCCTGTTTATCATGATTAAAAAATATGAATGTTTTCAGCTAAAATGCATATGACTAAAATAGACCACACAGAGTATTTCCTCAACATCACAATAGAAAAAACCCCTCAACTACCATGATGAATCTCAGTGCCACAGATAAAGTGCTTCAATAATTGGATGCAAGGTGTTTCCACATTGTGGTTAAAAATTGAGATTAAAATTTTCACTATGTTCGCAAATAATTATCAAAATACCCAAACATCTAGGGAAGTTAAAGTCAAACAACACCTTTTACCCAAATTATAAGGCCTAGAAAATCTTAATTGGCAGCAGAACTAGGGTACATCAACACAAATTTAGACCAAGGACTATTAACCAATTTTTGTCTCCCTTAACTGCTACATCTGGTAAAAAGATCAATTTTTCATTGTTTGGCTGTATAAATAATATATCGGATTTAGAGATCCAAAACTTACTTTAGGCGATTTGCACCAAAATATTCTGCAAAGAGAAGAAGCTCAGAGACATTGTCAATGGAAAAACCAGCAGAAAATGCCCGAGCACAAGCTGTGGCCAGATCTTGCTTAAGAGTGTCAAGCCTTACATCAATCGCTCTCAGAAGCTCCTTCCTGCAAAGGAAACCATAAATGACATACTACTAGCTGAAGAAACAGGAAGTAATTTTATCACTAGTCTTTTACTTTTTCAACTTCAACTAATTGTCAGACTTGGAGCCTTTGGCAAATGCATACAGGAAATTCAGTGAACTTGGCAGATTATTTTCATATTTACAGGCACAGAAATACTCCCAATTACAAACAGTGGAATTGATCGATGACAATGTCTACTGGATGTCCAAAAGAAATCAAATTGCAGGTTTAAGAAAAAACAGAAAGATATCTCAGAATCACGGTTTTTATGGATCCACATGGCATGATATCCTGCAGTAAAGTATACGATACAAATGTGTAAGATATAACTAGTTAACTACAACCCAATCTAGTTATTGTATCAGCTCAACTTGATTTTCTTACTTCTTAACAGCCAGGTGTGCATACTGATCATGGGCAACATGAAGGTAAGTTTGCCAAATCAGATATGATGCATCTAAACGAACTACTTTTGGCCCTAGAGTTGAGCAGGTTTAATCTCATCATAAGAGCAATCATGCATAATTTTATTGCTAGTAGTAAGGTCTACAGTAGAATTCAGTTCTATTATGTTACTTCCTGGAAAATGTACAACTATGAGAAATAATTAATCCCCTGTAAATATCCTCTATTTAATTTCTCAATACAAAGAATCATATACTTGCTGTGTTGAACATTTTCTTTGCTATAAATTCTTATTTCATTATTAGGCTTCAGATGCAGTGAGCAGAAGAGTTTATTATAAATCAAGTGTTAGGTTAAATCAGAGAGGTGAAACTTGGGAATGAAATCGGTTTGCAGGAATTGTCCAATCACAAACTGGAGGTAATTCACTTGTAAATGAGGATTAAAAGTAAGGACAACATCTGAAGTTCCATAATTTCTGACCTAAAAAAAAATTGATAGAAGCCTAATGGAAGAGTAAATGCAAAGGTATACAAAACAATTTACAATGTTATCAGTTCCTATCAAAGTCAGAATCACCTTCATTGAAGTGTTTGCAATCTCCATATTTTCTGACATCCCAAGTCCTACTAGGCCTTCAAATGTACTGTGACCTACATATGTTCAATGATTCCAATTGTCCTGATTACATTCAGCTAAGCTTACTTTTTATTTGTCAATCACTGAACCTGCAGTTTGCAGTCCAACTTATAATGCATCCATGCCACAATGATGTCAGCTTTACTGGTCACACTCTTCTACTCCCAGCTGTCCTCATTGTTAACTGTTAGGATTCCCCCCAACATTAACTTATCAGAAGAAAGCCTTTCCTAACAAATATATGTTTCTTAAAACCATATAATAATAACAAGGAGAAGAATCTTCATCATTATCCTTCAATTTCGTTTTCCCCTCCTTCCACTATTTCTAACTTCCTCTCTGTCTGTATATCTTAGCGCTCTGCTCGTTGCTATATGATGATTAACCACACCAACCAACAGGTTGAAATCCAGGTGCTATAGGCCTAATTTGACAAGCCCACAGTCAGCCAAGCAGTCCATAGAGAAAGAATAAAGACTAGCAACAAGATAGCTTGAGGATAAGACTAGATACTTGAATTAATAAAAGCCAAAGATTAAGATATTAAAAGAAAATACTACTGTGCTCAACAGTAGCAGGGAGTTTTTGGGGAAAAAAAATAAAGTAAAATAGGATTCCTTAAGATAAAGATAGGTAATAGGGAGGCAATCAGCACCCACCTGAGTACAGGTGCAAATTTGTAAACTGGTCAGTTGTACATGTCATACACACTAATATGTGAGAGAGAAGTCCCCTTGTCTAATTTAGAAACAACTTATTAGAAATTTCAAGTTTAAAGGTGATACTATGCCCATGTGGACCTAGTTAAGTAATAATTCCAAGAATAATCATACTGAAGTTAAATGGCATAATCAAATAAAAATATTAACCACTTATTTCTTTCATGATTTGCATTTTTAATTGTTTTTTCTAAAATTATAAGAGCAAAATTAGCAGGCAAGTTATTCTGGGATTGCATTATTGATTTGATTGTTTGTTTATGGTCCATCTCTAAGTTAAAGAGAATGGTACTTCAAATAAGAATTCATGTTGCCATTGCCACAACAAATAATAAATTTCATCCTTGTTTGTTCAAGTAAGCAAGAAGAAGATAATGTTACTTTGTTATATCTGTAGCTGCTACAGTATTTGTATCGCCTTCACCTGAATAGAAAACCAAAAAATTTGCATTAACAAGAGATGCAACTGATACAGAAGTTATAAATCAAATAAAAACAAGAACACCAAAGGCATGCTCATGGATTACAAATGTCTACGAGATTCTGATTGGCATCATAAAACGATTAGGTACTTAAAACTGGGAAAACATAAGTTTCTAATGTATAGAGGACCATCACACTTAGCATGCATTATGTACATAAAATTGATGCTACTTTTTCTCCTAACCTACAGTCATCAAGATGATTTGGCAAGGTTAGCCCACACAATTTGAGAATTTGAGATAACAAAGTGAAAAAAGAATATATAATTATTTAAAGGATTTAAAGCTTAATTGGACAGTGCAAATGTATACAAGTCATCCACAGTAATAAAAATTAGTCTCCAGCTATCTGCAGGATAAATGGCATATAAAATGCTGCACATATCCAAGACACACCAAACTCAATAGGGTTATTTGTGGATGTCATAGAAGAGGACCACTTTTTTTAACGATTCCACTAGATGCAAGTACATACAGTAAGAAGGCTCTCTAACGATACATTATCTCATCAAGAAACGAAAGTGGTATCTGAGATAACAACCATATGGAAAAACCAGATATACCTAATGTGCCAGAAAGCATATCTCCTGCACCCTGGATTAAAAAGTAGTGCATTTTCAGACAATAGTGAAACAAAGTTAATTCAGATTCCAAATAAATATGTTCTGCAATTAAGTGCATTTATCACCTGTGAATATATTCTCCTAGCCCCTTCCAACTGTGACATCTCCGCATCATATGTATTGGCTGATTCCAGCACCTCAGGTGTACTAACAAACCGAACAAACCTGCGGCCAATACTTATTCTTAATGAAAATTGAACATAAGCTCTTTTTCAATCAATTAATAGTTCATGGAGTATGCTACATCATAAATGATAAAAAATGGTCTAAAGACTCCAAATTGAGGTGCAGAGGTCGCAGCATATCTCAATCCAACCTTTCAAGTGTTCCTTTGTTGAACCATGAGCCATCATTCGTCGATCTATCAACCTCAAGCTTTATTGACTTGCCTGCCCGTGCGACCTGTGCTTCTGCAACCTTCAAATGTGTGACAAACGGCTTCAAGAAACCAGATGCAATCTTCTCCGTTTTCCCATTTCCCGATACAAACAATTCACACCTGCAAAAGGTGATATTTGTTTTCCTTTCAATATTATTGCCAAAAAAATGGAACCTCGAAACCATCTTGAAGGAGCATTCTCACCGTGACCGCCTTGGCGAGAGCTCAAACAAAGCACAATCGAGAGAAGCGTCGGAATTCATCATTCGACACAGCAAAGTGGCTCCTTTATCAGTTCAGTGGCAACTCCACTCCTCCACGATACAAAATCCCCGAACCCTCAAACCCTGCAAGATTTCAAACAGGCGACCTCTTCACCCAACCCCATCGTGCGCCGATCTAAGTAATAAAAATCGCATCTTGTACACACGTCAAGATAGGAAGAGTCACTCAGATCTACCAGATCAAACCAACCACCAGATGATCCACCTCGAAGCCAAAGGCCCAGACAGAAAACAAACGCCCCCACAAGGACTCCCGCAGATTCGACAGATTCGCAACGGGCGCCGGCAATGCGGGGGCATCGAGCGCCGGTTGAGGCCAAGAAGCCCCCGATGGCCCGGTCGAGGTCTTCAAGCCGCGGGGAGGTGAGGCATCGGCTCTAGGATCTCATCAAAAACGCACCTTGGCGGCGCCTCCACGGATCCCCGGTCTCGATCTGGGATCCGGGCAAAAAGAAGCCGAAGTGGGTGCCAATAGGAGCGATGCAGGAGACTTCCGAGTCCGAACGTAGTGTCGCGAAATGGTCGAAGGTGGCGTTTGCAGTACTCGTCACGCTCTATATCTCGTCTTCCTCGGATGGATAGAGAGAAGAGAGCTTGAGGGAAGAGAAAGAGAGCTTGAGGAGAAGACAGAAGAAGAGAGAAGAGGCTGATATGTTTTGAGAGCGTGTTCTGTGGGGCTTTAAGACAGCTTTTAGCGGCTCTTGATGGAAACATGAACTGCCTATTATACCCCTCACTGAAATAGGAAATAACATGAAATTGATATTTGTGTCAGTTTCAAAAATGTTTTATTCTACTTCAATCCACCAATAAAAAAAATTCCATATGATGTTTTGATTCAATTTAAATTTTGAATAATATTGGTATACATAAAATAATTTGTTATTATTTTAATAAAATTACATCTATATATTTTTATATATATCAGAAGGTTTAGAGGAAGAAAAAAACAAATAAAACTCTGAAAGGAAAAAAAAGAGTGTTAAAATGATAAATGATTTATTATTTTTAATATAAAATAAATAGTCCTATTTTATAGAGGAACATTTTTTAACATCAAACTTCTCTTTTGGGTTATTGTGGCTAATTCTACATCAATTTAGGTGATGAGTGATAGCATTGCCTACTTAAAATGATCAAAGTTCTCTTTGCAAACTATCTATGTGATGGACAACAAGAAGATGCCAATGAACAGATGTGTTGTTTCCCTCTGCACTGTGATCAAGAAGTGTGGTTTACAATACAACACAGCTTTGTTGACTTCACTCTTTCCTATATTTGTTGGAGCTTTAGTTGATCATTTTCCACATTGCAATCAACCTAACATTAGCTTATTTTAATATGTGGCATGATAAGTGCTGAAGACATGAATTTTTAGTTAAATGAGCAGTGAATAGTTGGCAACAACTGGTATCATTCTTTTAGAAAAACTATAGCTTTGAGGGGAAGAAGTGCTTCCTATCAATTTCCTTTAGGCAAAATAACTCATATGTCCCTCTACATTAATATATTTCATGTTATTCATATATAATATACTTGTATATTCTATATCAATTGACTGTTAGTTGAAACTTAATTAATATTGATTATTTTTTTATTAAAAAAATATGATTAAAATAATCAGAAAAATTAACTAAAAATAATTAATGTTAATTGATTATATGAAAGATTTAAATATTTGGAGGGATTACATGAGACACCAAAACACACTATTTCTAAAATTTAAAAGGATAGATATGTAAAAGCACTTTTTGTTTTTTACTTGTGATTTGTTGCCCAATCATATCAAAAATAATTAACCAAAAGTCCTTGTCATATTGATACCTTTTTTGATCTTATGTGATCAAACTAACCAAATACTTAACTTGTTTAATAACACATTAATTATGGATAATAAGTTCAGCAAAAAAAAAGCTGAACAAATAAATATGAAGATGCTGAGGGGGTATTTTTGACATGCAAAGTAGAAGTTTATGACTGTCTCAGTAGAACATACACTGTTACTTCATACTTGGAAATTTTATACAGTGCAAATTGCTTTTTATTTGTAAGAATTATCTGTATATTCTACCTTAAAATGGAACTTTTTTTTCTTTCTTTCTGTCTGTGCCAATCACACATGTTTTAGAATATTTGAACATTGAAGAATTATGACATTTCATTTTTTTGTTACAAGTTATTGAATATACATATAGTTTCATAAGAGTTTTGAGTTTGAAGGATTGTACATACAATATTGTAGCTTATTTATGATGAGGTACATGATGATAAATTATTTAAATGTGTGTATGCACCTATCAATCTTAGGCTTCATGAGAATCATATCTTAGACTTGACATTATTAACATTACTTAATTCAGTAGTTGTCAGATAAAGCATGATCTTGTGATATAAAAAGCTATGCAAAGAGGTCTTTTTTTTCATTGCCATATGGCCAACACAAAATTAAGCATTAGGCTCATTAAACATCATCTTGATATCCATATAGCTAATAAAGACACACACAATTCATGTAAGAGATGGCAAATATGCATATTGCATGAATATTTTCATTACTTCCATTTTTTTGAAAAAACAAAGCCAATAGATGATGAGTAAAATTGGTCATATATATATCAAAATAAACAAAAACCTAACTTGAGAAATATACATAGATGATGAGTCAAATCTATATATTTTTTTTTCCATTTAGTATATATATTGAAAAATCTTTGCTCATTATAATTGTCACTAACATTAAAATTAAACCACTTTCCCAATGCATTCAATAAATTATCTAAACACATGGTTTGGTTATTTTCATTACAAATCAATTGGGTACTTTTAGTTCATAAAAGTGAGACATTGAACATGATAGCTGAAAATAGGTGTGAGGCATAGTGGCAGATATTGAGTCATTACCACATTAGAAATTATTTGAGTTCAGTATCTCTCTCAACAATAGCTCAAATGTCATATATATAAAGCTGGGGAGCAGAAGGTGTTTTCCTGCATGTAATGTGTGCAGAGATCAGCCATGGAATGAGTGTGCTGCATTCTTGATTTGTTAGGTATGTGGCTGGCCTTGATGAGAACACTTGTTCCCTCATAGGATCTGAGAAGAACATGAGGTGAAGGAAACATGATATATATCTCTCTCTCACACACACACACAAAGAAGATGAGAGAGATGAGAGAGAATTGGACCACTGCTACCAGACACCTACACTTGAGGCATGAGGAAAAAGTCGAGCATCCCATGTTATCTAGAAGAAGTCGAAAGAGTACTGTTCCAGTGCAATTAATTTCAGATACTTGTAAGACTTTTTTGCTAAAAGGAAAATGATTCAATCCTCTTTACCTTTTGTTCACTCGTAGGGTTTGAGGAACATGGGGTGAAGGAAAATTGAGAGACCTCTCTCTCTCTCTCTCTCTCACTCACACACACGTACACACAAACAAAGAAAAGGAAAACTGAGAGAGATGAGAGAGAGAGAGAGAGAGAGAGAGAGAGTATGGCTTAAATCTTGGACCACCGCTACCATACACCAACATTTTGAGGCATGAGGAAAAAGTTGTGCATTCTATGGCCTATAAGTTTTTCTTTCATGTGCTGTCACTGGCTCTTATGCAGTGCAATTATTTTCTGATACTTCTTTGCCTTTTTACTAAATAGAAAAATGATTCAAGCTTCCTTTTGTTCACTCATATGATTCGAGATGAACATGGAGTGAAAGAAAATTTGAGGGACCTCTCTCTCTCTCTCCGTCTCTCTCTCTCTCTCTCTCAC